ACAATATAAACTTTTCTTTATATTTAGTTGCCTTCTAACTTCTAAGATTTTCAAGTTAACTAGCATGTCCAATGGCTTCCATGCAAATCAAATATTCAGCATGTTAGCCTTTATTCGACAAATTCCCAACTCCTTCCAATATCTTCAGCTTTTAAGCTATGCAGTTAAGGAACTTATTATTATTTTTTATTTTTCAGTGATATATCCAATATAACATGTAGCATTTCAAATTTCTCAAAGCATAGAAAAATCCTTTTAAGCTAAAAGGAGTCTTGTCTTCACTACCTCTTTCGTCAAACACTAACCACACTAGTACATGAATAAATGATTATAAAAGGAAAGTAATTGGGATAAAATTATTTCAATACTGTATATTTGTGGCAGAATGGTGGAGAAAATTAAGTATGGATTTTTCTTTGATTCCTTTCATGTCAGGGTGCTTACAGTGGAATTAGCGGCCCAGGAATCATCTCATGCATTCAAAAGTAACCTTGCCCGGCTGCTCGAGAGGTGCTTATGCTTGGAGGTTGGCCTCTATTGGATGCTTTTTATTTGACCATTGATTTTATTCCCAAAAAGTGGTTACCTATGCTGGATTTGACATGGAGTGTGCTTGTAAACAAGCAATACTTGTAAAAATCAATCTAAACCAATATTCTGTTCAATGATGCAGTGTCTCTGTCTTAAAATCCGAGGGATAGAAGTTGATGCAATTGACCTTCGCTCCATTGAGTTCTTCATACCCAAAACTATTAAAACTCTGAAGTTGCAACCAGTGCTTGAGCAAGATGCAACTGATTTTATAAATAAACTTGGGGTTGGTAGAAATGTATTGGAGACATATGATTGTAGCAAATCTCTCCCTCCAACATCTTCCGGTTTTACATTACAGAGGCTAAGACTAGTCCTGGATCTTATCTCTGACGCACTAATCAGAACGATCATCCACTCCCTCTCTCATTTGGTTGATTTGGATCTAGAAGACAGACCGTACAAGGATCCCCCACCGCACCATGACTTGACCAACAATGGGCTTCAGGTCTTGGGTTGTTGTAAGCACTTGAGAGGCCTCTCTCTAGTTCGAAGTAGACAGAATCAGCATGGAATGTCATTCAAGAGAATAAATGATATGGGCATGTTTCTCCTTTCAGAGGGATGTAAAGACCTAGAATCGGTGAGACTTTGTGGATTTTCAAAAGTTAGTGATGCTGGTTTTGCCTCAATCCTACATTCCTGCCAGAATCTGAAGCAATTTGAAGTACGCAATGCCTTATTTTTGTCAGATTTGGCCTTTCATGATCTCAGCAAGACCCAATATGCTTTGGTTGAGGTCAGACTGTTAGCATGCAATCTCATAACTAGTGAAGCCGTGAAGGAACTAGCTTCTTTTACAACATTGGAAGTGCTTGACTTTGGTGGGTGCAAGAGCCTGGCCGATTCATGTCTTGGCCCCATTTCATATCTTCCTCGGTTAACTGCACTGAATCTCACAGGAGCTGATATAACTGATAGTGGCCTCTTAGTTCTTGGTGAGGTGAGTCCACCCTTAACACGTTTATGTCTTAGAGGCTGTAAGAGGGTAACGGACAAAGGAGTTTCTTTTTTGCTACGTGGTGGTGGAATTACTGGAAAGACATTGGAAGCATTGGATTTAGGTCACATGCCAGGAATATCGGATAAAGCGATTTTCACTGTAGCTGAGGCTGGTATAGAGATAACTGAATTGTGTATTAGATTTTGCTTTCGTGTGACTGATTCTTCTTTGGAAGCATTGGCAAAAAAGAGAACATTCCAAGATGGAAGCAAACAACTTCGTAGGCTTGATCTTTATAATTGCATTAGCTTATCTGTTGATGGGCTGAGATTGCTGAAGAGACCCTTGTTTTGTGGTCTGCATTGGCTTGGCATCGGAAATACTCGGTTGGCTTGTCAAAGTGATTCCCTGAAAGCTGAAACTTGGAAGGAGCGTCCATGGCTCACCATGTGTTTGGATGGTTGTGAAATGGGATGTCATGATGGATGGCAATTTCATGTACTAGAATGATTCCTCCACATTTGCTATTATGTGGTGTTATTATTGTATTGGAAGGAAATGTGACTTGTGTAGGAAGAGACATATTTCCGGATAAGAGTGTGGTGGAATATTCCAAGGAGCATCAAGCAATAAAGAGGCTTGTAACATTTGACATGGTAGTTGTTTTGTAGTGGTTTGTATGTAACACAAGATACTTTTTTATGGTAATGAGGAGTCAACCCTTTCTTTTCTTTCTTTCTTTTCTTCCTTTTT